CCATTGCAACAAAAAGAATAAAATACTTAGGAGTATATCTACCTAAAGAAACAAAAAACCTATACATAGAAAACTATGAAACACTGATGAAAGAAATCAAAGAGGACACAAACAGATGGAGAAACATACCATGTTCATGGATTGGAAGAATAAATATTGTCAAAATGGCTATACTATCCTTGCTATTTTTTGGAACTCGGCATTCAAATGGGTATGTCTTTCTTTTTCTCCTTTGCTTCTTGCTTCTCTTCTTTTCACAGCTATTTGTAAGGTCTGCTCAGACAGCCTTTTTGCTTTATTGCATTATTTTTCTTGAGGATGGTCCTGATTCCTGTCTCCAGTACAATGCCACGAACCTCCCTCCATAGTTAATCAGGCACTCTGTCTATCAGATACAGGCCCTTAAATCTATTTCTCACTTCCACTGTATAGTCATAAGGGATTTGATTTAGATCATACCTGAATGGTCTAGTGGTTTTCCCCACTTTCTTCAATTTAAGTCTGGATTTGGCAATAAGGAGTTCATGATCTGCCCTGCAAATAAATTCATCAGTGCCACCTTTCTAGATTCCTTATATATGTGGTAGTATGTGATATTTATATTTCTCTTTCTGACTTACTTCACTGTATAATAGGCTCTACATTCATCCACCTCATTAGAACTGACTCAAATGCCTTCCTTTTATGGCTGAGTAGTATTCCATTGTATATATGTATCTCAGCTTCTCTATCTGTTCATCTGTCAATGGACATCTAGGGTGCTTCAATCTTCTAGCTATTGTAAATAGTGCTGCAATGAACATTGGGGTACTTGTGTCTTTTTCAATTTTGGTTTCTTCAGGGTATATGCCTAGTAGTGGGATTGCTGGGTCATATGGTGGTTTTGTGGCTGGATCAGTTTACATTCCCAACAGCAATGCAAGAGAGTTCCCTTTTCTCCACATCCTCTCCAGCATTTGTTGTTTGTAGACTTTTTGATGATGGCCATTCTGACTAGTGTGAGGTGGTATCTCATTGTAGTTTTGATTTATATTTCTCTAATAATGAGCAATGTTGAGCATCTTTCCCTGCGTTTGTTAGCTCTCTGTATGTCTTCTTTGGAGAAATGTCTGTTTAGGTCTTTTCCCCACTTTTTGATTGGGTTGTTTGTTTTTCTGGTATTGAGTTGTATGAACTGCTTGTATATTTTGTAGATTGAGTCTTTGCCAGTTGTTTCCTTTGGTATTATGTTCTCTCATTCTGAGGGTTGTCTTTTCACCTTGTTTGTAGTTTCCTTTTCTCTGCAAAAGTTTTTAGGTTTAATTAGGTCCCACTTGTCTATTTTTTATTTTATTTTCATTACTCTAGGAGGTGGGTCATAGAAGATTTTGCTTTTGAATTATGTCATCGAGTGTTCTGCCTATGTTTTCCTCTAAGAGTTTCTGGTTTTTGATCTTACATTTAGGTCTTTAATCCATTTTGAGCTTATCTTTCTATATGGTGTTAGGAAGTGTTCTAATTTCATTCTTTTACATGTATATGTCCAATTTCCCCAACACCACTAATTGGAAAGGCTATCTTTGCTCCATTATGTATTCTTGCCCCCTTTGTTGATAGTAAGCTACCCGTAGGTGCATAGGTTTATCTCTGGGCTTTCTATCTTGTTCCATTGGTCTATACTTCTGTTTTGGTTTCAGTACCATTCTGTCTTGATGACTGTGGTTTTGTAGTATAGTCTGAAGTCAGGCAGGTTGATTCCTCCATCCAGCTCCATTCTTCTTTCTCAAAACTGCTTTGGATATTCAGGATCTTTTGTGTTTCCATATGAATTGTGAAATTTTTTTGTTCTAGTTCTGTGAAAAACGCCATTGGTTATTTGATAGGGATTGCATTGAATCCATAGATTGTATTTGATAGTATAGTGATTTTCACAGTATTGATTCTTCATACCCAGGAACATGAAATATCTCTCCAGCTATTTATGTTGTCTTTCATTTCTTTCACCTGTGTCTTATAATGTTCTGCATACAGTCCTTTTGTCTCCTTAGATAGGTTACTCCTAGATAGTTTTATTCTTTCTGTTGCAATGGTAAATGGAATTGATTCCTTAATTTCTCTTTCTGATTTTTCATTGTTAGTATACAGGAATGTAAGTGATTTCTGTGTATTGATCCTGTGTCCCGCAACTTTCTGACTGGATCTTTTTAAAAAATATTTTAAAACGTTCATTTTTGAGATCAGTTCTTTTCCTTTATAAAGTTTATTATTAATCATGTTTTAAATTCTCTTGTGGTAAATTGTTTATTTCCATTTCATTATTTTTCAGGCGTTTTCTTTGCTTTTTCAATTGACAGTAGTTCTTCTTTTTGTTTAGCTTTCTCTGTTTCTATTACTTTAGGTGAAACAGTTGTCCACTGCAGTCTCGAAATGGCTGTTTCTATGTGGGAACATCCCTCTGCACACTGTGTGTGCCTTGTACCTACCATTGACGGGTGAGCTGGATTTGAGGTGGATGCCAATTATACCTTTCCTCAGGATGTGCTGGAAGCTATCCCCGTAATAGGCAGTGATGCTAGAGATGGAGGGGCTAGAGTTGGCACCAGATCTGAGGCAGGACTTCCTCTCTGCCCAGTGGCCATCACTGCCCTGTTAGGGGTGAGGTCTGCTTTTAAATCGCCAGAGAAGAAGCTAGCTCTGTCCCCTTTAAGTGGATTTTTTCCCCTCTTCCTTGCACCAAGACCTTTGCTTCAGTGGCATGGGATGCCGAAACAAGTGTTGTCTGTACATTGATGGAGATCTAATGCACTGACTGTGTAGGCATCTGCAACTCCAGTCAGATACTGACTCAGATGTAAGCCCCGTTTGTTATTCATAGCCAGTCATTTCTCCTTGCCTCTGCCACCACCCCCTATCCATTTGTGGAACAACTCTGCTGGGCCAGCAGAGAGCTATGTGGACTCCTGGGGTGTGTTAGAGGTTAGCTGTGGTAGAGCATCCCCATCAGAATCCGAGAAACTTCTGAGATGCTGCTTGAGTAAGCACTAGCAATGGCCTCTGCTACCACTCTTGGGCTCTGCCCTGGGACCAGATTGCCTGTATGTCCCAAGAATTTTAAATTTCATTCAAATCTTTAAAATTGCATTAATATTTGTATTTAGTACATGTTTAAATAATATTTTGGTTATTTTAGTTTAAAATGTTATTAAAATTAATTTCACTTTTTTCTTTCTACTTCTTAAAACTGTGGCTACCAGAAAATTTAGACTTCTGTTTGCAGTTTGCATATTTCTGTTGGACAGTGCTGGACTTGTCTAGAAGACTAAGGTGTGGGCTATGCATTTGCTCTTGCTGAGGGGTAACCTGTGTGCAAGGGAATGATTTGCTGGAACAGACACTTTACCACTCATCTCAATCCTGAGGCTTCTGCCCACGCTTATATGGGCACTGCTAAGATTATGCCCCTCTTTGAAAATATGAGACAGGGGTCATCCTTTTTCCTTATGTAAACATGTGACTTTATTCCAGGTGTAAGAAGAATGTATTACTTATGTAAAACTGATGAATTTCATTTAATTTTCAAGGGTCTGGAAATATGGGCTGGGAATGGGACAGAAAAAGTAAATAGGATCAAGAGAGGAGTGGATTGGTGGGGTATTGGAAGGATGGGAATGGAGAGGGAAGGAGTTCACAGTTAGATGCACACACTTTGATATTATTCTAGTAATTAAGTTGAGTGGTGGGTGAATGAGTGCCAAATTTGTTATGCTTGATAACTTGGGTATGTGTTGCCTGTATGTATCAATATTTCTGTGACTATAATGAAAAGGTTGGGGGTAATAGAATTATCAGTCACGTTTATTTGTGTCTGAGTCCCCATGTCAATTCCCACTTAGTAAATACCTATCATGTGCCTTAAGCATAGAGGATGTTTGATGTACTTTGATCGTGTTGCAGTAGCTTATGGTTCTTATTAATTTGTCAGGCCATAGATGTTTCTTATTTCTTAAAAAAAAGCCTGTTAAGAACTTGTCTCTAGATTCTAGTAGATAAACAAGATTGAAGGTTATTTATGGTTGTCCTTCGTAGGGTCTAATGACTCTTCCACTCGCAAAAAGTCCTGAGACCAACTTGCATAATGATAAGGAAATTCTAAATCTTAGAATAGGGCAAAAAAGTGATGGTAATAATGCTGAGAACATAAGGGAAAATATAGTCCTCTTAAATGTAAATATTATCTCATTTCATAGGAAGAGTTGTAGTTTCTTAAGACAGCAGGAATAAAGCTACATAAACTTAATGTATGTATAAAGTACGTGCATATTACATACTACATATAAAGTTTTAAATGCTATTTCTTTTTCATACAAAATAAGTATTTTTATTTTATTTTTAAATTTATTTTTGGCTGCTATTAGTCTTCCTTGCTGCGCAGGCTTATCTCTAGTTGGGGTGAGCTGGGGCTACTCTAGTTGCAGTGCAGAGGCTTCTCATTGCAACGGCTTCTCTTGTTGCTAAGCGTGGGCTCTACGGCACATCAGCTTCCGTGGTTGTGGCACATGGGCTTGGTAGTTGTGGTTCCTAGGCTCCAGAGCACAGACTCAATAGTTGTGGCACAAGGGCTTCTTTGCTGCAAGTCATGTGAGATCTTCCTGGATCAGGTATCAAAATTATGTCTCCTTCATGGCAGGCAGATTCTTTACCACTGAGCCTCCAGGGAAGTTCAAGTATTTTGATTTTAAATGTAACAAGAAAATCATTCAAGCCTAAGATTTAGGCCTATAATTATTCTTAGAGCTTATGAACAACTGCAATGCAACCAGATTCTTCCATTGGTCATAGAATGTCAATTCTGCTCTGGGTTCAATTATGTCTCTTTTCTCCCTTTATTAAACTCTTGAGGACATCTTCAGGAAAAACAAACCTGTATTTTCATATGGATTCATAAACCATAGTGGGATATAAGCTTTCAGTAGATGTTTAGTCAAATCCAAGTTGAATAAACCTTCTCATTCTGCTTACAGAGACTTTGCTGGTGGAATAGGATCCAGACTGAGACCAGGTAATTTAGCTTTGTCAGCAGTAACATCACACACACCACCCTGAAATTCAGTGCAATTTGTGTTACAGTCTCATGTCTTTCCCGCTTTTATTTCTTCAGCTTTGCTGCCTCTTGACCTGCTTCTGAAAGTGCCACCCCTACTGCTCAGGGCCCGTGTTAAGGAGCTAGAGGCTGAGGTAGTGACGGGGTGGCAGTCCCACAGCCATCCCACTGTGATTCTCCACAGTCTCAAAGACCATGGTAGTACTTATATTAGATAACACTGGTGTCAAGCACACAATGGGTGAACACAGAATTGTGGTTGGGCCTGAATACCGAAATGATGCTTGGGAGGTAACTCTAGTACAAACTGTTTCATTTGTCCATCATTTTTATATAGTTTGGCAAATTAACAGTGTCAAGGTGCTTTCTGTGTTCACTTATTTGATGAAATATATGAGCTATCTTTCTAAAGTTTGGGTTTTTGCTTTGGTAGGAATGTTAGCAAGTTGAATTTTGAAGCTAACAGTGTATACCTAGTACCAAAAAACAGTAACTATGTTTTACATACGTATTTCTATAAGCTGTGCACCTATATGATATAAGAGAGTAAAGCATACCTTTTCTTCTGTCTCCTTTACTCTGATGCAGATAATTCTTTCTACTTATTTGTATTTGATTAAAGCAATGTTATATCAAATCGTTTCCCTAATAAGGTAGAAATTATGAATTCTTAAAGAATAACAGTTTATAGTAATTGTTTGAGAAAAAAAGAGTGTGTTCACTAACATTTCTAATTTCTATTAAAGTGGATCAAATGTTCAACAGTAACAGTAAAGTTTTTAACTAAACCTGGATAATTCAGGAAAAAAAACTCAGTGATTGTGCTTTTAACATATGTATATGACTCAAGTATAAAGTTCTGTTTTACTATTTTGGTTAATACGGAGTTATTGCTTATTGTTATTTTCACTTTAACTTCCTTAATTCGTGTTCTTTTGTAGAGTTAATACATATGAACTTTTAGGAGATGTGAATTGGTTTACTGTAATATTAGTCCATGTCTCCACATTTATTAAATTTGCTTTGAAAGAGTTATTGACAGTTTGGGGACCTTTACATGATCAGCATAGATGCAGAAAAGAGATAACTTTGTTATTAAGGTGTCCAAAACATTATTAAGATGTTATGTTGACTATGCCCCACTCCAGCTATTTTGGTACAAGGTAAGTTCCTAATATAGCCATGAAGCTAAATGATTGTTATTGATTAATTTTATAACAGTGAGATCAAAACACATACATACATACATATGTAAGCAATTTGAAGTTCAGTTGTGATTCATAAAAAGAATTACTTTTCCTAAAGGATATGTTGAGTTAGTTAGTTCAAGACTTGACTTTATGTCTGCAAAATTAATCAGATCTCTGGATATTTAAACAAACTCTTTAGCTTAGATAACATGTAATATATTATATTTCTTAGACCTACAGTTTGTTCTACTATCTACTTTTTAAACATTTACCAATTCATGCATTTAAATTTAAAACAGAATATGCTACAGCATTTTAAGTGTTGTCAGTGAATGCTAAAGTTTACCTATAAAGGAGTGATAGTTTTGACTAATATTATAGAACACAGTAATGCATATGGAGAAAATTTGAGTTATTACCTAAGAGTTATTCCACATTACAGTGAAAAAACATTTTTTATTCATCTTAATGCAGAGTTGTTTTTCTGCATACTGTAAAAATCATACTTTTCTAAATGTTGCAGGTGGTCTTGGACTAATTGGTTGCTCTGCCAAATGACAACTGGTATAGGCCCCACTTAGATTGCCTCTTGTGCAAATGAGGATTCATTCTATTGTATATAAACAATAGCTATAGTCCTGTATTGCCTAAATGTGCTGGAAAAAATTGTCAGAGGAGAGAATTTTGTCAGAACCTTGGTATATTCCCAGGACTAAATCTAGAATGTGAGCATCATTTTCCACTTGCTATGGCAGAACAAAGGGTGAAAACTATTATTTTAGAGTGTTGAATTGGCTGTATTAGAATGTGATTCTGCCTATAGAATACTCTTAAAATGTGAACTTCTAGGTTCATATTGTAGCCATATGGCAGTATTTAATGTACTTCTAAACTCCTGTAAAGCAAATAACCACAAAGCCATCTCAACACTATTATTAAAAATCCTCTTTTTCTGCCTTTTAATACTAACTAGATATGTAAAGAATTTATTTTATAACATATTCCTTAGATTAAATAATAGTAATTTGACAACAGAATTGAGAACTTAGGAATTTCTGTATTGAGTAGATGAAAATATTAGCAGTAATTAACATGGAATGAATGAATGAATAAACATGCATGACTTGCAAAGTATGCATGTTAACTGTTTTAGCTCTATTTTACTAACCCTTTCCACTTACAGATTACCACTGTACAAATTTGGCCATTTCTGAGTACTATCTGTGTTACTATTTTCCAAATATCTATTTCTTTCATTTGACTTACTTTCTCAACAGAAACAGACCGACTCACAGAGAACAAATTAGTGTTTACCAGTAGGGAGAGGGAAAGGTGAAAGGGGAAGGGGATTAACAGGTACAAACTATTAGATATAAATAAGTGGCATATACCCTGGAGAAAATCACAATTCAAAAAGACACATGTACCCCACTGTTCACTGCAGCACTATTTGCAATAGCCAGAACATGGAAGCAACCTAGATGTCCATGACAGACGAATGGATAAAGGGAGTTGTGTACATATACACAATGTAATATTACTCAGCCATAAAAAGGAATGAATTTGAGTCAATTCTAGTGAGGTGGATAAACCAAGAGCCTGTTATACAGAGTGAGTCATAAAGAAAAGAACAAATATAGTATATTAAAGCATAGTTTGTTCTCTGTGAGTCAGTTTCTGTTTTTCTGTATGCATTCATATGCTTTATTTTTTCAATTCCACATATAAGTGAAAACACACACAGTATTTATCTTTCTCTGTGTGACATTTTCCACTAAGCATAATAGCCTCTAGGTCCATCCACATTGCTGAAAATGGCAGAATTTCATTCCTTTTTATGGCTGAGTAATATTCCATTGTAATACACCACATCTTTTTTATCCATTCATCTGTTGATGGACACTTGGGTTGTCCATACCTTGACAATTGTAAATGATGCTGCTATGAACATTGGGGTACATGCATCTTTTTGAATTAGTGTTTTTGTTTTCTTCAGATATATAACCAGAAGTGGGATTGCTGGGTTATATGGTAGCTGTATTTTTAATTTTTTTGGAAATTCCGTGTTGCTTCCCATAGTGGCTGAACCAATTTACACTCTCACCACCAGTATACTAGGGTTCCCTTTTCTCCACATCATTGCCAACATTTATGTATTGCCTTTTGGCTATAGCCATTCTGACAGGTAAAAGGTGATCTCTCATGATGATTTTGATCTGAATTTCCCTGATGATTAACAAGTTGGAGCATCTTTTTATGTTTCCATTGTCCAGCTGTATGTTTTCTTTGGAGAAATGTCTATATTAATAGACTGTGTCCATTTGTTAACTTTTTAATACTGAATTGTATGAGTTTTTAATTTATTTTGCATATTTCCCTTATCAGACATATCTTTTTCAATTATCTTCTCCCATTAAGTAGTTTGTCTTTTCATTTTATCTATGGTTTGATTCACTGTGCAAAAGCTTTTAAATTTGATTAGATCTGATTTGTTTATTTTTGCCTATGTTTGCTGTGTCTGAGAAGACATATTTTAGATAAAAAAAATATTTTTAGGGCCTGTATCAGAGTGTACTGTCTATGTTTTCATCTAGTTTTATAGTTTCTAGTTTTACATTTAAGACTTTACTCTCTATTTTGTGTTTAGTTTTGTATAGTGAGTGAGTGAAAGTCGCTCAGTTGTGTCCAACTCTTTGCNTTTTTATTTTTTATTTTTAAATATTGAACTCCATGAGCTGTTTATATATTTTGTCCACTGCTTTGTAAATATTTTGTCACATTCTGAGGTTTGTCTTCTTGTCTTGCTTATGGTTTCCTTTGCTGTGCAAAAGGTTTTAAGTTTAATTGGATCCCAGTTGTTTATTTTGTTTTTATTTTTATTATTTCAAGAGGTGGTTCATAAAAGATCTTGATGTGATTTATGTCAAAGAGTGTTTTGTTTTCCTCTAATAATTTTATAGTATCTGGTCCTACATTTAGGTCTTTAATCCATTTTGAGTTTATTTTATGTATGATATTAAGTAGTATTCTAATTTCATTCTTTTACATGTACCTGTCTAGATTTCCCAGCACCACTTATTGAAGAGGCTGTCTTTCCTCCATTGTATATTCTTGCCTTCTTTGTCATAGACTAGGTGATTTTAGGTCCATGGGTTTATATCTGGGCTTTCTGTATCTGTACCACTGGTTTATATTTCTGTTTTTGTGCCAGTACCATACCGTTTTGATTACTATAGCTTTTTAGTATAGTTTGAAGTCAGGAAGCCTGATTCCTCCTGCTCCATTTTTCTTTCTCAAGATTACTTTGGCTATTTGCAGTCTTATGTGTTTCCATACAAACTGTAAGGTTTTTTGTGTTCCAATTCTGTGGAAAATGCCATGGCAATTTGATAGGAATTGCACGGAATTTGTAGATTGCTTTGGGTAGTATATTCATCTTTACTATATTGACTCTTTCAATCCAAGAACATGGTACACATGATATATCTCTCCATTTGTGTCCTGTTTGATTTCTTTAATCAGAGTTTTATAGTTTTCTGAGAACAGGTCTTTTGCTTCCTTAGGTGCATTTATTCTTAAGTATTTCATCATGTTGTCTGGGAGCCTTCACTCCAATTAATATTCCCTGGGGCATGATGTTCTCTGTTAGTCCAGTGATTGTGACTCAGTTCTCCCACCTCAGGACCTCAGGCCTGATCTCTGGTCCATGAAATGGGATCTTGCAAGCCACAGAGCATTCCAAAAAAAAAGGAGCAGGACAATAACAAATAATTACAAGTTAAATTTAGAAAACTAACAGACATATTTGGAAAAATAAGAATCTTTATAAGTACTGGAGGGTAAAACTAACCTCCAGTAGCAAAGAAGGAAAAAACAATTAATGATCATAAAAAATAAAAGGGAGCATAACAATAACAAAAAAATAAAATGAATTCAGAAAATTAACAGATATTTTATAAAAAATAATATGAAAGAACCACTGAAGGGTAAAACAGAACTCGATAATGG